CAAAGAAGATCACACAGTAATACAAGACTTAAAAACAAAGACTTAAAAATAACAATCAGTTTAGAAAAATTATTAAGATATTGAATATTCCAGTTTAAAAAGGTGTGTTTTCAGGCTGGATGTGAAGGTTGAGAGTGAGTCCATATTGCGGATGTCTTGTGGGAGAGAGTTCCAGAGATATTGTTGTGAAGAAAATTTAAAACTAACTACTTTTAAAGCTGTTAAAACGTACGCTTTTGCTATCAACTGCTTCAAAGTAATACATCTGTATTTTAGGCAGAAATGTTGACTTTCTTAACACAGGAAACAAATGAGGGTCAAGTCTCGTGAAGCCACTTCTACAAATGAGTGGTAATAGATTCTAATTACATTACATGTCACTTGTTAGACGCTTTTATCCAAACGACTTCCATACTCAATACTGTGGACAATCTCTACAGGAGCACTTTGGGGTGAAGTGTCTCAGGGACACAACGACATGCTGACTGCAGTGGGGTTTGAACCTGTGACCCCCTGATCCCAACACCAACGCACAACCCACTGCGCCACACGCCTCCCTCATCCCTAATCTATTGTTTATTCCACTTTTAACATCCCAAGTTCTCCTGTGTCTCCACTCACTGACACATGGCTCGGGATAAAAGTTAAGTCTCACTTCTGCAAAGTTTTTATCCTCACACCACAGGATAAATACTGCCTTTTGTTTTATTAATTGGAAATCGATGACACGAAGACGCCGGTGTTTGGATATTTCTTTGTACATGACTTATTGTCCCGCTTTAAACTTCCGTGTTATTCCTGCAGGGACTGTGAGTGCGTCTGTGATGCGTTTGTGTGGGCTTAATGGTGTCTACTATCAATATTCTATTCTATATTATTCCTATAATATTCCCGATGGGACCTAAAGAGCATCGGCCCAGCAGAGAGCCGTGATCTCTCCTCACTCTGTGATAGCTTATGTGTTATCACTGTAATATTTCTGGGGACTTTCATGAGCTACTTGTGTCGACACTGTATAAATAAAACATTTCCCTGCCCTCCCATAGTGGAAATACTCTAATGTTATACAGTAATGGTATAAGATAAAAATGCCATGGCTGCTGCAAACAGACAGCGTAACATCGGGAAGAGGCATTAAAGCAATATATGGCGATAGTGTCACGCAGAGTAACCCCTCAGGTACAAATACAGAGGCAACAATCTAAAGTCACTCCATTAGAGGCAACAATGCTGCCTTTAAAAGCCTCTGGGTAAATAACGGGAGTATTATCAGTGAAACTTTTCACAAGCAAACTTTTTCTGTGTTCAAATTATTTACTGAAAATACTGCTTGACCAGTCCTACAAACAAAGCCTTAGTTAAGTTAAATTATTATGGGTAAAATGTGCTTATAGTATCAAAAGTAAAAGGATTAAAGGTGGGGTAGGTAATTTTGGAGAAACCAGTTTGAGTGCGCTAGAATTTGAAAATACACACCCGGAGAAAATCTGCCCCTTCCTTACAGAGCCCCTCCTCCAACACACACGAACGCGCACATGACCAATGAGGGCACGAGATAAGTTTGTGCAACGATGGAAGGCTGACAGGCAGGTAGGCCATCCAGTTACTTTAGCAAGGCCGGCTCAGATGATTGGTCGTTCTTTTTACAGCGCTACTGCTTCCACAGATGAGATTTTTTTTATGTATTTTTTGTCAAAGCATTTAATATATTCATTGCTATCGGGATGTTAAGAGCATTCCATGGAATATAACAAAAAGTGTTTCTGAAGTGAATTACCTACCCTACCTTTAAGTGTTAACAGTATAATGTTAGTAAGATTATATATGACGTTTGTTCAATATAATTAGGCTTCTGCTTAGATTAGAATAGAAGAATATGAAGTGTCAAACAATTAAAATACTTAAGTACAAGTGCGTTGAATTTGTACTTGAGTAAATGTATTTCCTAACAACATTTTTCATTATTTTATCCAGTATACACTTGTCCGGTGGTTCCTAATCAAGGGTTGGGGGCTTCCAAAGGGTCACAAAATAAATATGAGGAGTAATGACATTATTAATAAGGGAGAAAATGGGGAATGGGTGTTCTTTAATATTTGTTTTAGTTAATGATTGGCTAATTTGACCTTTTTGGGACTTAAACTGTTTTTTCTAACACAACCAAGAGAGCATTAAGGACGAGTTTCATAGTATTTCTTAAGAAAATGTAATTTCTAACCTCAAACTAAAGCTTGTATCTGCATTAAAGCGATGTAACTGAATTAAGGCTTGTGTTTTAGGCAGAAATTATGACTTTCTTAACACATGAGGGTCAAGTGTGCCCCCCCTCTCACCATTTACACACTTGGCATCTTTATATGGGTCAGTGTGTGAATGTATGTATGTGTGTGTGTGTGTGTGTGTGTGTGTGTGTGTGTGTGTGCGTGCGTGCGTGCGTGCGTGCGTGCGTGCGTGCGTGCGTGCGTGCGTGAGGAGAACATGGACATATTTGTATCTCCCAGAATGTATCAGGGGTTGATTGGACTTGTTTCCCTCCCAACCTCTCCCCTCAACATACCTCTTCCCGTTTGATGTGGAGCTTATTTCAGACGTCGCCGTGTGTAATGACCGAGCCTTTTTTTTCCTCATTACCCCGGCCCGACATGTCACAGACGAACCTCTGCTCTCCTGACAGAAAGAGGGAGAGATGGAAATAATTACCAATGTCTCTTGTGGAATAGGGCGTAAATTGATACACACTAAATACTGTACCTTAGGGGTCTCTCTGCCTCTCAGTCGCTCTCTGTTTCCCCGTCAGATGCACGAGACAAATGAATGCATCCAGCAGGAATTAATTGGATTTGGAAGCAGTCTCCTGCACGATCCACCAGGACAGACAAACACCCCCCCTCCCCACACACACACACACACACACACACACACCCACAGGCAGACACACACACACACACACACACACACACTGCAGCCTCCCTCTTGGATACAGTGTTTCCATGGCAGCCACGTTTTTTGCACGTGTAGAATCAGACGGAGAGAGAGACCACTCCCATCGATTCACAGGATATTGATTCAGTCTGCAGCTACCTACGGCAAAAACACATTCACATGCACGCTCACAAAGACTCGTGTAAACATCAGATTGGATCTCCTGAATGAGGCTGGGGAATGTGATAATGAAGGAGAAAGCATGCTTTGCAAAAAGGGGGGCGTCAATATGTGTGACTGCTACAGTTCTGTCTTCATTATTCACAGGGTGTACATGAAGCAGCGGAGGTGTGGTGTAGCTCTTCTAAACAGGGTGTTATAATGAGCAAGAGGAAAACACAGGAACAAACACGTTGTACTTTTCAGTTCCAGCTGATTTTATTTCCTTCTTGGAAGAAAAGAAAAACAAATTATAAAAACGACAATCTGTACAGAGGTCTGAGAGGCAGTGATTGACCCAAACATTGGCTGGTTTTGAGCTATAAACATCAAATGATATTGGCATGATTGGACGAAACATGATCATACACAGCATATTGCACAAATGAAAAAAGAAAGAGGACAATAGAAAAGAAGTCTGGAAAGGTAGAAAGAAAAAGAAACTCTTGGACCACAATCATCTTTAACATAAGAATGTCCAAAGATGGCTGTCCTAGTGCCTGTCGTTGATCATCATCATACATAAAACACACAATCTTTGCTTATAGTACAGTCAGTTTACATAAATATCTTCATGTTATTATTCTTTTAAAAATCTTAAACACAACAGCTATAGCTACATATACCTGAATCTGAAATACAAATGCTATTTGCCATGCCATAATATAGGAAAACAATTAGCCTGCTATACTTAGCCAACAGGTACAGAAAGGTTAAATACTATTTTTTGATGTAATTTGCGCAAAAACAGATGAAGCACTTCATACATCTCCCTCCCTCCGAAGTCTAGGCAAAGTGGAATGAGTGTGAAATTCCATCCAGTGGTTCAAATAAAACTTATCTTGATCAAAACAAAAGCACACAGAGGTATTAGCTCTATCCAAACAGTGACTCTCTGGGGTCTTTCACTCATATACGGTAGATCTGTGTGTACTGGAAACAGGCTCCACTCAGACTGGGAGCTGAGTGGAGCTGTGTTTACTCGCTGGTGAAACTGGAGTCACTGTGCCATTAAGAAGCATGTGGGTAAATACTGTAAACACTGTGTGAGGTCAGATTGTGCCAAACAAACCCCCTCTGCACGTCTAAACCAATGTAGACCCAAACAACAATGTTGTAGGCTACCCACTCGCTGGAAACCCCTTTCTATAGATTTTGTACAAAAATACAAGTAGAAAATCATGACACACTCAAGTCTCCTTAAAAGTGAGAGAAGTCAGACATTTTTAAATAAGATACACTTCTAGCCCTTCCGCGCTGGATACAGACAGGTGTATGTGCACAAACACAAACGAGACCTGTACAGAACAATACTTCTATGTATAAAAAAGTTTGGCCGGTATAAATACATCGATATAAAAAACGTGGTCTGACACAGAGGAACTACAAAGTTGAAGCACTAGGCAGAAAGGATGTCGGGAAACATTGGTCCTGAAATTGTGCACTGAGTGTTTAAAAAGGTTCAGAAAAGGGTTTCTGAAGTTTGGAGTCAGTCTGTGTTTAAAGTCCTGCCGTTGAAAGAGAAGCTGGTGATAGTGAATTGTGTCCTATGGTCACAGAAAATTGCGTAATTACGCAGCAATGAACATTTTTACGCATTTAACAACAACAAAATCCTCCTTTTCTCGGAGGGCATGCGTGTTGGTATTGAAACTACTTCGAGTTTTGAAAGAAAACTACACCTGAATTGCAACTTGATGGTCAATGTGAATTGGCTATAACAAAACCCAACATGCCCAGTAAATGTCCCTTTTTCACGAGCCGAAATAACATTTAGATTCAAAAGTTCGTTCTCCGTCCTGCTCCACTGCGGAGCGTCTGAACATTAGAGCTGAAGTCCGTGAGTTTCACTGCTCTCTGCTTACATTCACTCCTCCTCCGTGTCCAAATGCAAACTAAGCATTTCCCCTGTCTGCGCGTGCCCGTCAGTCTGCGAGCGGCGCGTGCCTGGGCTTCAACGCGCACACAGGCCACCTCTTCTTTCCTGTTTTCACTCTCCCTTATCTAGTGAAAGAATGGCGGAAATAATCTGGTTCTGGAGGGTTGAACAGTTCAAAAACGTAGGGGGGGAAGTCGCGGCTCCGCTCCTCTTCAGTAGGTGAACACCAGGTTGGAGATGGTGGACTCCAGCCAGTCTCCTGAGATCATCTCGCTGACCTCCGGGGTGCAATAGTCGGGGAAATCAAAGTGAGATCCCGCCCCGCATTCCCCGAAGCTCCAGTCCAAATCCCGGTCCAGCTCCGCGTCTGAGAAGCCCATCCCGCCCAGAGACATGCTCTCAAATCCGGGGCTGGGAGTCAACTCGAGCCGCTCGTCTTCAAACTCTTCATCCGAGGAAGAGGATGACACGGAGGAGGAAGAGTGAGACGCCGAGGGTGTTGGAGAAGAGGCGCGCGTGTACCTGAGGCGCGCGGAGTGAGAGTTCTCAGTGTCCGCGGGGCTGTGATCCTCGTAAAGACTGGGGGGGTCACTTGAATCCGGTGAGCTGCTCAGGGTGGGACTAGCCGGGACCCCCACGGATGGAGGCCCGCTTTCCAAGCTCCCTGCCCCGCAGAACATGTGTCCGCGCCTCGCCTCTCCTCCGCTTCTCTTCTCCGGGATCTGCCTCGCCCCGGACACTGAGCGGGATTTGAAGAGCGCCTGGTGGTCCCCTGGAGACGGGAATTCACTCTTAATGCCCACTGGTTTGTGTGTCCTGCTCACCGCTTTGGACACGGGGCTTCTTTTCACTTTCCGCTCCCCGCCGACGCTTTTGTCTGCACGCTCCGCCGGTTTACTCGCTCCGCTGCCCGCCGACTTCACCTTCTTCCTGGGCCGGTACTTGTAGTCTGGGTAGTCGGCCATGTGTTTGAGTCTGAGCCGCTCCGCCTCACGGATGAACGGGATCTTGTCAATGTCTTTCAGCAGCTTCCAGCGCTTCCCCAGCCGCTTGGAGATCTCCGCGTTGTGCATGTCGGGAGACTGCTCCATGATCTTCTTCCTCTCGATCTGAGACCACACCATAAACGCATTCATGGGTCTCTTGATGTGTCCCGTTGGAGTTTTGCACCACGCCAAGTCGCTCCTCACGCCGGAAGAAGGGGACTCGGGAGTGGGAGACACATCCATCTCCAAGTCCATTTCTCCCGTGTCGGTGGAGTCTCCTCCGGGAGAGTGAGCGCTCTCCGTCTGGCTCATGTGCTGCACCATCCTGTCTGGAAACACTGCTCAGTGCTTTGACAAAGTTCACAAAAATGCCTAGCAGGCTTTCACAGAAAAATAATTCCTCACTCTTATTTCACGCGCTGAAAAAAGTTCATCCAAGTCTCTTCTTGTCCTCAGTTGTGGAGACGCTCCTTCTCTCAACTTTCACCAGAATCCTGAATCAATTTAAGAGTAACTTTCAACTGCCTGTGCGGCTGAACACGCGCCCTGCGAGCCTCAGCACGCGCCTCTGTGGGCAGCAGAGCGAGTCCCTTATGGTAACGGTGGAGGAACCATGTGGCTGTCTCATAGTCTCCTGTTTCCTGAGCGTTCTGTAATATTACTGTAAACACAACAACGAGATCCTCGCAGCTTTATACCCTCATCGCGAGATATAACAGCCAACCGGCGTCTGTCTCTATCCTGATTTTCCCCTCAAACCACGCCCCCTGGCCTCCCATTGGTCAAATAAAAAAAACGGGTAATAATAATAATAATGTGCAATGAGGATCGGTGTGTCTGACCTCATTCCTGTCAGACTCCACCGGAGGAGTGTGTGAGTGTAAATGTGTGTGTTAAAGGAACACAGTGTCCTTTATCCTGCAAGGAGAAGCGTTGCAGATGTATACATAGAACTTTATTACTTTCATGTGGGTGAGTGTAGACTAAATTTAGGTTGTGGGTAACATAGGGGGGCAAGGAAGTGCTGAGAAAACACAAAAATAGCCACACAGCATAACAAGGAGCAAACCCACCCCAACATCCAACCTGGTATTTACACGCCATTACACACCATTACATCATACCAGGAAGTACAAACAGATGCATGTGAGGTGATGGTGTTTCTGTTAGTGCCTGATGGTAAACCAAAACCCTGAACACATACATAATTAGGATTGTTATGAAAGTGTGTATGCAGAAAAACAAAGTCACAATCACTCTGCAGCAGAAATGCACACACACACACCCCCCCCCCTCCTTCCTCCCAGCCCCTTTATGTTACCATGTTCCTGTCATGTGTAGGATCATTACCGTCTGAGTCGCTAGATGTCAGGCTAGAGCCAAAGGGATCTGATGAGGTGAACAGTGTGTGTGTGTGTGTGTGTGTGTGTGTGTGTGTGTGTGTGTGTGTGTGTGTGTGTGTGTGTGTGTGTGTGTGTGTGTTAAGATGCACGCAGGATTTATCTGCATCCTGTAATCTGTGAGCTGCCGTCATTAAATCATGCAGGTGATGTCATGATCTGCAGAGAGAAGCTTCCCTTGATCCTGCCGCTAAAGTGTTTGTGGTGATAAATAAAAAGTGAACTCCTGTCCTTCATCTGAGCGCAGACACTCAGGTCAACGGGGTCAATATTTGTATTTAATGTAGATCAAACTTCCCCAGTTGGCTCTTTAAATATAGACGTTTTTTTGTGTTACAAGTATACTGACATGTTACGTTTGAATATGCAAATTAGGAATTATCTTAAGAAATATCTGCTAATGTGCATAGACAGTTAGAAAAACTTGTGTTTCACTTTGTTGACATATTCGAGTCAACACATTTGGGATTTAGCTTTGTATAACATACATTTAAAGAAATACTGAGCACAGCGATTCAAAACTTGAAAGAAACTGCCATGTGCTTAGGACTAAAATATCATCTAAATCCGGCTCTATGAATGATTTATGAACAGTATATGGATAAGTGGAGCCAAGCGGGGGTCAGATTTGTGCAGCATCTCAGAACAAAAACACAAACATATCTCCGAAATAAATGATAAAAACATCAACAACTAAAGATTCTTCCGTGGACTTTTGTGACCTCTGACATACCAAATATACCAATCATTAAAAATACAGAGACAGCGCTAACGTCGTGGACAGATAACGTTGGTTATGTGTTGGCCGAGGATCTTATGTGGTCCATAAAATCTAGAAAAAAAAAACTTGGTCTAGTGATAGGATATCAAAGTGTCCTTAATGTGTCTTTGGTGCCTTCACACCTCTAGAGCTGTCCACTTATGATCAAATTGCAAAAAAACACAACTCTAATGCTAGGTCTGCACACGGCCTAATGCTCACTTTCGGTAAATGAAGAGAAGTCTACAGCCACAAATAGACAGTGTTGTTAAAAAGCACCTAAATGTGTATCTTAGATGTTTTCTTCCCACTGGTCTGAGAGAAGACTGGAAGCACAAAAGCCCAAACTCTTCAAATGAACCAAACGTTGCCTGGAGTGTCTCGCCTGAGAGGAATCAGACTCCAACACAAGCAGGACTTACAAACAGAAATCTGATTAGAGTTTCATGTTCTCTATCATAACATCAGTTATGCACTTACACTGTCCATTCTTAATTCATGACGTGATTGATGTCAGAATAAAATAGGCATAAACTCTTTAAAATTTCACAACCTTAACCCCTCTACCCCCCTCGGTGCTTACATAAATCACACACATAAATAATAATGAGCTCCTTCATCAGTGTGTAGCTTCAGCACACACCTGCCAGAGGATTAGAGCTATCTCTCTCTGTGTGTCTCTCTCTCACACACACACACACACACACACACACACACACACACACACACACACACACACACACACACACACACACACACACACACACACACACACACACACACACACACACACACACACAGACAGAGACACAGACAGAGACACACACACACACACACATACACACACACACACACACACACACACACACACACACACAACACACTCACAGACACACACACACACACACACACACACACACACACACACACACACACACACACACACACACAGACACACACAGACAGACAGACAGACACACACACACACACACACACACACACACACACACACACACATACACACACACAGCACACACACACACACACACACACACACACACACACACACACACACACACACACACACACACACACACACACACACACACACACACACACACAGACAGACAGACAGACACACACACACACACTGCCGGCAGATTTATCATCAGTACATAGCATCTTCATGCCTTTTGTTCCTGATGAGTATGCAGTCAGAGGAGAGAGAGATCTGCCATTGATACAAAAACAACACAAATGTTTCTGCTGACTCGAGAGCAGAGATATGGAGGTGTTGGATAAAAAACAAAACAACAACAGTCGACCTGAAGCTGTAAACACACATCAGGAGGAGAGGAGCTGGATGAACATGAAGACGTATTAAGGGAGTTTAGCTTGTAAATGATCCTTGCACTCAATCTCTATACTATATTGCTACCCGAGTGTTGTCCTTAGTGTTGTGGTTGTTGTTCTACTGTTTCTCACCTTGTGTTACACTTTATTTAAATCTTACAATGCTCGCTTCTCATACTATGCTTCTTCAATCCCCTTTAAATGGGTGTTTATTTAACGAGGTCAGTGTAGAATTCGGAGAAGTCCGATCAATAACCAAAGATGAAAGGAAATTTTCAGAGAATGTCACAAACTACAGAATTTTGAATGTGTTTTAAACGTTACGTGCATACGGCAAAAATATACGTTTAAATTGTCATAATATGTACTTATGGACTTTACTGTATATTCTTATCTTTTAGCACGAGGCCTAATCTTTAGTTGAATGACTATGATCAAGATGGAAATTTCTTTGGGTTTTCAGATAAATTACTTTGCGAAC